ATCAGCTGCCTGGCTGCCGGCCGCCATCTTGGCTGACAGTTAATTTGCATATCTCCCTGATTAGCCAATGGGAAGGGTAGCGGTCGTACGCTAATTACCATGTTTCTCTTTTATTAGTGTAGATTTTCCTAATTGTGTTCTGTTTTTTCATTTGGAACATTTTTCTTTGTCTCCTCATTTTGGCAGCCTCCCTGTGTTTGGTTCTACATATTAGATAGAGCTGCTACTTCTCCCAGGCTTGGTAGAGTGGCCTAATGTATTAGGTATCCTGTAGGGTCCCATGGCACAGCCTCCCTGACCACCAAAGCTGGGAACTCAAGGTACACCACTTTGTGGGCTATATACACTCTCCTCTTGTAGTTGAGCCTTGATTGCTATTGGCATGTCAATAGGAGTGACTTATCCCCCAAGTCAATCAGCTGCAAGGATGGGCTGTGACCACTGATTACCAACCTCCAACCATCATGGAGAATCAGCTATGCAGGGGCCCACTCAAAGAGCAAGACTTATTTCAGCAGGATTCTGGTGCCTGTTGCATCTGTCCCTTGAGTGTGTCACTGGTGAAGGTGGTTGGGTGGTGGTACTTCAACATGGTCTGATGCTGTCCACTGGGTGCTCTGAGACCTCCCAGGAGGTGCAGGCCAAGGTGCGGGCACTGCCTGTGTTCTGCCAGGGGTCACCCATCATGAGCGGCAAAGTTGTTGGGGGCCAGATGTAAGCTGGCAAGGTCCTTGCACCTGAAGGGGCTAGCAAGGCTGGGACCCTTACCCACACAGTTTTCCCAGACTTGTTTGGATGGCGATTATCAGTAGAATGAGAACAGCCTTACATGACTTACCAAGAAGTCTGTAACTATTTACTGAGATATGCTGTACTGAGAACTTGTCCTTCTGCTATGTCTCTCCCTTAGAGATTAAGAGGAACAAAGAATACATTCCTCTTGACAGACCTCCTATTCAGTGTGTTGTGTATAAATAGGATTGTATAGCTAATAAACTCACTTCAGTTCCTCCAGAGAACTGGAGTCCTCCCAATCCCGCTTTCCTGTCTTTCTTTCTTTTCTCAATTCCTACCTCCCTGCCTCAGCCCGGCTCAACCTTGTCAGGCTGGCCCTGACACAAAGTGATCTGCAGATGGCTTCTTGTGTTGGGCTTGGAGGTGTCCCAATGAGGCCAAGCTGTGAACCAAGGACAGCTTCTACTGGTGTCAAGCCTGGGGCCACTTCGCAAGAGGTACAGAGCTCCATGAGGCCAGATGCTACTTTTTTGAGAGATTTTAGGAAAATCTGAAGAATGAATCAAGACAGGCCATTCCTGTGGAAAAGCCACTTGAAACAGGTTAGGTGAGGCAGGGCCAGGATAGGGAAAATAGTGTGATCCAGGTTGGCAAAGTCTCAGACATGGTATCCGCCTGCCACCTCTGTGGGAGGAGATCTCAGAAAAGGTACAATCGCTTCTGCCAGCACTTCTGTCTGGGAGAAAGCTGCCCCGCCCCCAGCTCTCTCCCTGATATGGAACAATTCAGTTCCTCCCCATATATCTCTGGTACCTTTCAAGCTGCTGCCCCCATATTGGAGCACAGAAGGAGTGAGTCCCAGTTAGTCTGTGTGTGGGCCCTTTAAGAGGAATGGCCTGGGACTCCAGCAGCCTCAAGTGTATCTCAGCCTCAACCCCCGCTGATTTTTTAGCCAGAAGTTATGGCGACTTCTCTTCCCAGCACTGTAATCCTGGACAGGGGGCCTGGTGTGAGGCTGGGACCCATTACTACTCAGGAGGGTACCTCCACAGCTGAGATATCCCTCCGGATTTTTATCTGCCATATGTGGGTGTGGGACCAGCCCATTCCATGTCTCCATCCCTCCTACCTGTCTTGATGGAACATCTTCTTTAATTCCCTAGTAATAGGACTTCCATTCAGCTCAATTTCAGCTGGTTGTCCTGTAGTTTAGTTGTAATTTTAATGTGGTTGTGGGAGGAGGTGAGTACCATGTTAATCTACTCTACCATAATGGCCAGAAATCATGAAAAGTTTTTTTTTAATACAAATTATAGAAAAAAGACTAAAAATGTACCCCTGCTATTAAAAAGTGAATACCAAAAGAAACAAAATTGAAGTATTCTCAGAGGCCTAGTACTAGCCTGCTAATGTAAGAGTTCATGTTTTGGGATTTCAATTTTAACTAAAAGACCAATACAGCCTATTTTGTTCCTGTCTCTAAATGGTGATTTTTTTTTCAGTTGGTCTTTCTCTTTTTTTAAAAAAAGCTATTTATTTGGAAATATCAATCAAATACCATAGTAAGAAGTTTGGGGGTTCTATTATATATGCTTTCCATCACAGTATTAGCAGAGGTGCAATTTTGGTTAAGAAAATAGCCCTAACCGGTTTGGCTCAGTGGATGGAGCGTTGGCCTGTGGACTGAAGGGTCCCAGGTTCGATTCTGGTCAAGGGCATGTACCTTGGTTGCAGGGACATCCCCAGTGGGGAGTGTGCAGGAGGCAGCTGATCGATGTTTCTCTCTCATTGATGTTTCTAACTCTCTATCCCTCTCCCTTCCTCTCTGTAAAAAATCAATAAAATATATTTAAAAGAAAAAGAAAATAAACACAAGTTCTATGTCTAATCAATAGAGTCCCACTTAAGCAAACTGAATTTCTAATAATTTCATTAAATGCAATTCAATCATTTATTCTGTAATCATGATGTAATAAACCAGATGCTACGTAGCAATGTAGATTAACAAGACCCTCTTTTCCTAATAACTCAAACTATCTGAGGGACCAGTTGTTGTCTGTGTTCTTTCTTTCTAATTTCCAATCCATTGTATTCCAACAGTTTTAAGCAACAATAAATATTTGGTCAAGATATCAGAGTAGGTAAATGTACTCACCTTCTCCCATGACCATAACAAAATTACAAAACTAAATTACAAAGAAACCAGAAACACCAATCAGAAAGGATCTATGCACCCCTATGTTCATAGCAGCACAATTCACCATAGCTAAGATCTGGAAACAGCCTAAGTGCCCATCAGTAGATGAATGGATTAGAAAACTGTGGTACATCTACACGATGGAATACTATGCTGCTGTAAAAAAGAAGGAACTCTTACAATTTGCAACGGCATGGATGGAGCTGGAGAGCATTATGCTAAGTGAAACAAGCCAGTCAATGAAGGAAAAATACCACATGATCTCACTCATTCATGGATAATAAAGACCATTACAAACTTTTGAACAATAATAGATACAGAGGCAGAGCTGCCTCAAACTGATTGTCAAACTGCAGTGGGAAGGCCAGAGAGGGTTGGGGGGCAGAAGGGAGGGGAGTAGGGGATTGTCAAGGGCGGGGGGAAAAAAAGGAGACATATGTAATACTCTTTGTAATACTTTAAGCAATAAAAAAGAAAAAAAAACTAAATTACAGAACCACCACCCTTGAGAACCACCTGAAGACTAGTTGAAGAGAACTATAACTAAGGATATAAAGAAGAGCCATGTCATGTCCAGACTGGTAGGAAGGAGAGAAACAGGAAAGGAGCTAGTCTTTTCTATGGTGTGGCAGTTTAAAATCAGGATGGATATGTAAGCTGTGTAGGTCACCCCTGAAGAACAAGGGGTCCCAGCCCTACACCAGGACACAAATTCTGGGAAGAGGAGTCCCCACAACATTTGGTTGTGAAAATCAATGGAGATTCCATTTGTATCAGACAAGGGCTGCAGTAGACTCTTGTCCTCTTAAATAGCCCAAGCACAGACTCACTATCAAACACTTGCCCTAAGCTCCAGGAAGAGACAGCAGATCAAAAAGCATCAGGGACATATGGGGATGAACTGAATTGTCTAGCTTTAGGGTAAGGGCTAGAGGAGTAGCTCCATGCTAGATAAAAGTGCTGGTAGGTGCCACTGTTCCTTTGTTGAGCCCTCCCACTGCCTAGCCTATAGGCACAGGCAGGTGCCATATCAGTTTCCATCAACTTGGCTAACAGTTTGCCCCACCCTTGTGATTCCCTGAGAACCCCACCCACCCAAATTATACACCATCCCTAGCTGCTTTCAGGGGCTGCTCCTCACAAGCAGCTGATCTTGGAACAAGCTGCGGACATTCCTAACCAGTTAACTGCCACATGTCCAAAACGGAAACCATCCCCACACATCACGATATTTTGAATTTAATTTAAAAAATCATCTGACTCTGGAGTTGAATAAAGGATGTCATCTTCTTCTTGCGAGGTGCTTGGTTCGATTATTTCTTCATCTGATGCCAGTTATGGGGATTGAATTTTATTTGCACAATATATTACAACGATAAATTCAATAATAAAATTATGATAATTTTCAATTCTACAGAAATATCAACAAAAGCAAGTGCGAAATAAAAATAAACTGTCACACGAAAAGCCTCGAAAACACTAAATTTTGTTGATGCTCCAAAGACGAAGTCTGTAAAAAAAATAATGAAGAATGCCCACCATGTTTACCATTTTAGGCATGAAACTCATGATAACATAAATAAATCTCAAGTGTCACAATGAACAAAAAAAATCTCAAGTGTCACAGTGTTTACTTCTTGTGCATCTGAATGGCAGCCCTATATATAGATATTGAAATTTCTTCCATATGCACTGGAATATTTATGAATTTAAGTTACCATAATTTTCTTTACAAACCCAGAGATGTCACTAACAAGTCTGATTTTAAAATTGGGTGACCAGAGTTGATATGCGAGGTTTGCAGTTATAGATGCGCGTGGCATGTGGGGAAGGTCTGTCACTTGCATCTATAGATGCTTATGGCATACAAAGGGCTAAAATCTCTCAAACGTCCACAAACCCCAAAGAAGCAAATGGACTCATTGTGCCATATACCTCTTGCTAAATGGCCTCAGCCTGGCACTAGTGTCAGCTGGCCCTGGTTTGCAGCATAGCCCCACCCAGGTGCCTGCAAGCCCAGCACAGGTAGTTACCAACAGCAAATCAATCTGTATCTCCTACCAGGTGGACCCCTGCTGGGCACAGACAGCAGAAGAACTTGGAATGCACCAGACCAACTCTCAAGAGGACCCAGAACCAACGCATCTGGTGGCTGGCATCAGACTACATCAGATTATCACTCAATTAGCTCCACAAACAACAAAACCAAAGGGTGGACTCAACAGACAGCAGAATTCTGCTAAAGCAAATTCAACTCTGTGGGTACAGTCCCCAAACAACAGTTTATCTGCTGTAGTCATGGTCAGTCCTCAAAGCCAGTCAGCCAGAGGATCAATCCCACACACAGATGTGACAACAGCAATCAAGGCTCAGCTACAAATAGGAGGGCCCATGCAAACAACACAAGTAACACACCTAGAGTTCCCAGCTTAGGTGAACGAGGAGGTTGTACCACTGGGTCCCACAAGAAACCTACTACATAAGGCCACCCTACCAAAACTGGAGACATAGATCTACATAACCTGTAGAAACAGAATGAGGCAGTCAAAATGAGGAGACAAAAAGCACGTTCCAAATGAAAGAACAGGATAAAACTCCAAAAAAGAAACAAAATGAAATAGAGGCAAGAAATCTACCAGAAACATAGTTCAAAACACTGGTTAAAAGGATGCTCAATGAATTTAGGGGAAGAATAGATGAACTCAGTGAGACCTTACACAGAGACAGAAACCATACAAATAAACCAGTCAGAAATGAAGAATACAATAATTTAAATGAAACATATATTAGATGGGTTCAACAGAAGCTTAGATAAGTGGTTCTCAACCTTCTGGCCCTTTAAATACAGTTGGTCTTAGGTGACCCCTGTGAAAGGGTCGTTCAACCGCCAAAGGGGTCGCGACCCACAGGTTGAGAACCACTGGCTTAGATGAAGCAGAGTATCCAATCAGCGATTTGGAAGACAGGGTAGCAAAAACAACCAATCAGAACAGCAAAAAGAAAAAAAATTTTAATGACGGTACTTAATGGACTTCTGGGACAACATTAAGCATAACAAACACTCACATCATAGGGGTACTAAAAGGAGAAGAGAGCGAGCAAAGAATTGAGAACCTATTTAAAGAAATATTGATTTATAACTTCCCTAACCTGATAAAGGAAATAGACAAACAAGTCCAGCAAGTATAGAGAGTCCCAAACAAGAAGGATCCAGAGAGGCTCACACCAAGCCACATCGCAATTAAAATGCCAAGGTTAATGAAGAATAAAAATGGCAATAAATAACTACCTATCGGAGGGACCTGCAACCCAGGCTCTTGGCCAGCCCAGAGCCCGGCAGCCCACCAGGAATGCAGGCTTTTGACCCACGCCAGCCCCAGTCGACCCAGTGGATGCAGTCTGGTTGGACTGAAGCCAAAGCGGGCCCTTTGCACCAGTGAGGGTGAAGAAGCTGTTTTTTTAACCAGCTCATCCTTTTCTGAGGAGAAACCAAGATGGCGGCATAGGTAAACACCGGAAATTGCTGCCTCGCACAACCACTGGAAAAATACAACTAAAAGACAAAACGGACATCATCCAGAACCACAGGAAGGCTGACTAGGTGGAAATTCTACAACTAGAAGGAAAGAGAAAAGCACACTGAGACTCAGAGGAGGTGCGGAAGTAAAGTGCAGAGGTACAGAGGCGCACATGGAAAGGGCTGGCAACTGAGGACACGGTTGTCTTTTTCAATCGGGAGGGAGTCTCAAGCTCCCGACTGCTCTGAACTCCAGTTCCGGGCGAGTCCCTGGGGACCCAGACTCATACTGGGAGAAACTGGACTGTCTGGCATCGGTCAGAACTCGAGGGCAGCTTTCTCTCTGAGGTGCTTGCAGCGATTACCACGGGACACTGAGATGTGGGGCCTCTTAGGGTAGGACTGAGGAGCAGCCATAGCTGCTTGCTCCACCCTGTTGATCCCCTGAGACCCCGCCCCACCCAAGCTGTGTGCAGAGGCTTTTGCATATGAAAGGCCTCGCCCTTTCCAATCTGAAAATTATCTAACAAACTGCAGCTGGGTCAGAGAGACCCAGAACTTCCAAAAGAAGGCCCAAGCCCCCACAGCAGCTTGCATTGCTTCACAGCTGGGCTTCTGCTGGGTAGCCTCAGGCAGAGGCTA